CTTAGTCTCCGCACTCCACAGGCGTCCAAGCCGCGGGATATCCGTCGGTGTATTCGGTCATTATTACCGAACCCCCTCTACAGACATCTCTAGATGCCCCCCCAGAAACGAGCCTTGATCGTTGCGAGCTAGAAGACTAACTGTGTGGTACACAAATACAAACCAGCAACTGTAGCTGTGGTGATAGTGGCACCATCTATGTCGACATGGACCAGAGCGTTGGATTTTATGCATAAAGGCTTATACACGATGGAGGACCGGACACGCTCGAGAATAGATATGGGTTTCTGAAATACATGGATGGCCTTTCCACCATTGATACCAATATGCAGAAGCCTTGAGGTGTTGACAGGCCACGACGAGTCCCTCACCACGTCACCAAAGAACAGCCACACACTCCTTGGATAGCGGTGCTATACGGAATACCTGGAGCCGCAACGGCTCTCTCGCTGATGTAGCCTAATAATTGCACCAGGCAGACGCGAGCCCATCTCACCAAGAATAATCTAGCACGTGCAAAATTAAAAGAGAAATCATATGAAAAGAAAAAAAAAAAAAAAAAAAAAAGATAGACATAGCATGTCCTGGTTTCGATCCAGGGTCCTGATGAGAGTTAGTTGGATGAATTTTTTATCAAATTTGGTGGCGGTGAAACGTACCTCCGGGTTATGAGCCCGGCGCTCTTCCCCTGAGCTAACATGCTGGGATGTTGAAAGCTCAGCTGGTTTTTGACTACATTAGCCAGATTTGTCTAAAATGCAGCACACTTACCCACGAGACCTACTCTCCCAATCGGGCCAGGTTGGCCAGGTTTTAAATTAAATAGCTGGGTGCATATTGTGAAATTCACGCAAAATGGGTTGATCTGTAGGTGTCTATTTTATAAAGAAATTGAATTGCCTATATAATCAGGTCCACTCGAAGAGCTATATTACTTACCATCATCAGATAGGCAAGGTAGTTTGTGGCCATCTCTATTACCTTGAAAGCTATGGTGAAAGATTAATATAATAGCTTTAGAAACTTGTTAACGTTGTGTGCGACTGGACGCCACAATATTTAGAAATTACCTTCTATTTCCTGTTTAGGAAATACAGATGCTGCAGCTTGCTTACCTCGTTCTCGAGACGGTATCCTGCAGCCCCCAACCTATAGGCTCATTGCGATACGGTGGTGGCCTAGATTAGTACTTTGCATGATTCTATTACCTTTGCCTTAGATCATCTCCGTGTAACTATGTATCCTTGTGTCACCAATCAACAAGGCACAGAAGCAACTCTATATCTACCTGTAGGTACTGGCTGTATGGTCTCTACAGTCAAAACAAAATAGTAGTTGAGCTCCTATTTACCCTAAGGCCAATTAATTAGGATATTTCGAGGGGTCTGCCAAAAGGTCCATCACAAGCAATGATCTGCATGCTGGGTCATGATGTGCTTGGTCATTTGATGGGCTCCTGGCTTCCCATGCTATACCGTGCAGGTATCAGACACCAACAAAACACAATTACATACCATCGTACTATCAGAGACATGTGGCGTTCTGGAATGCAGAGATAGATCGTGGCTAGCTTCTAAAATTCTGGAATAACGTGCACATAGGCAACTAAGTAAGGCATTTGCTATCCCTTGCTGTCATGAGCTGCATAGCCACAGCTCTTTTCTCAACAAAGGTCCTTGGAGGCTCCTTGGGGGCTCCTTTGGAAATTTCTGACTCAAGATGACGAAGCATGCTCCGTATAGAACTATACGCATACGTGGCCAGCCTCAAGAATCTAAAGCACACACGTGACAGCCATTTGGAGCCCTATTCCTATGTGTGAGTCAGAATAATTAGTCAGTAGTAGATTGGTCAGTATTGATGACCCCAAATGACGAACGTCGGAATAATCAATAATCAGCCACAATCAGATATGCAAAGTGAAAAAAAGGAGCATAGACCTCCGACAATGTCGGCGGACGCCGACATTCCGGGACGAAAATAGAAGTCTTCCAGAAGAACCAAAGAAACGCTTTACTGAATGTAGCACTAGTGGCATGCACAAGCCACCAAAAATTCCTTCTGGAACATACGAGAAATACCGAATACGATTACCTGTAGACTGTGGCTGCAGCAAGTGCTGTATGGTAACAGGTTAAACCGGCAACTTGAACGGCGTAACGGCAGTACCGAGATGTGGCTGTGCAGCCCGGGCTGTCACAACCAATCATTTACATTGAAAAACTTTTCACTGCTGCATTAGATTGCTACTAAATATGAACCTGCATGACAATCTCGCAGACCCGTCGCCGAGAAGCCCGGTTAGAGTGCTGACAATTTTTTTTTTGGTCGGGATTGCATGCCGGTGAAAATTTTTTCTCCGTGACCTTCTCAGATATGCAGGGGCCTTCTCTTGGTAATGGGTAACAGGATTGATACCTGCCCAATCGAGAAGATCATGGTCATTGTAAACAAGGATGCCTTCGGTACGCAACTCCGTCCTCATATAATTACCCAAAAAAAAAAAAAAAACTTTAGATCTACACATTCCCACTATAATTCCACTATATCTGAGTGGGCCATTGGATTCTGGATATTTGGATCAGCTGAGGCTGGTTCGCCACTTCCCCGGACTCTGTAGGCCACGTTGTGGTGTCGCCTTTAGAAATTCGCCAAGATCTTCCCGGGCCTGTCCACGGGAAAGGGAAGATCAGTTGAATTTGGGCCAGACTGTTCGGTAGATACGGCAGACCCCCGGACCCGTTTCGGCGTGTCCAGACCGAGAAAATCACTTAAACCCCGAAAACATGCCGGTCGGGTTTATCACTACGCTAGTGCATTTCAAAGGGAGATCCTTGAAGATCACATGGCACCTATTGGAATAATTTGTCCATATTATTGCTGCCTTTTTCTTTCGCGCCCAAACAATATCTAAGCAGGAAAGTCGGAGTTTGGCGGTGCCGGCCGATGCTCGGCTAAGAGGCCCTTGATCTGCGATCTGATACCCTGGCATTTAGCAAGCATGCATATGCACGGTTGACAACGCTAAACGGAAAATTTCGAATGTAATCCACAGTACGGAGTACATGGGATTCTTACCACGCTACTCAAGGCTTTCCGCGTGCTACAGAGACGCTAACGATTTAATCTATATCATCCGTGCACCATGAAAATATGAAAATCTAAAATTAAAATAATTAAAATTATTTCACTCTCAACAGTTTCTGAGTCAAAAGGGAGAAACATATGATTCACATGTGATCGAGTCCAACAATGCAGACCAGAAAATTAAGGCAATCAGCCCACAGTACAAAGACCATGTGACCATGATGTTAGAGCCTTGTGCATGAGATCCTTGTGTAGCCCAACAATGATAAACCCAAAGTGGGCATTTCCCACCGAGGCTACAGCAGAGCTAAGTCCTGTCGAGACAAGCGCTTACACCTGGGAACAAGTGTAAGACATGGAAAGTATGTGTACAGCACTTACAGCACTTCGCTTAAGATGAAAATTTGAAAACACTGGTGACTCAAGATCTGGGGTCAGCTGGTCGTCAAGTTCTCATACACAAACCAAGAACCATGGACCCGTGTCCAACTTCAGCTTATCATGCCATTATGTGTATGGTCAGCTGACTATCGCGTCTGTCGAACTAGAGCGGAACCCGCCGATTGGCGCGGAGTGGGGAGACATCCCAAGACAATCGGAAGACAGTTAAGAGACAAGTGCTTCATAGCCACAATCCTGAGTATTCGAGTGGAATAACGGGTCCGACAAAGAAAGAAGAATGTGCTCTGTAAGGTTTCCCCAGGTGTTGTGCAGGAATGCTACACCGTTGGGACGGTCGATCCGAACCATTGGGCACCAGCCACATGGCTCTCGATGTGGCTAGTGTCTACAAAGAAAAGCTCGAAAGTATATTTGAATTAATAATATCGGCTGAATAACTCTCCGGGTTTCAATTTCAAATTTCTGGGCATTTTAATGCATTCTGACTCACCGGAGATAGTAGATCAGGCCGAAGATGTTCCCAACCAAAATTTACTATGGGAAATGGCTAAAAAAACTAAGGTGTGGCTCAGCCCTAGGGATATCTCCTCGGCATCTCCACCCCCATTTTCCTAATTTTGGCCCTGGTCACCCGAGTGTAAATCGGAGCTAGTCTAAGACTACATAATTTTTTTCTTTTTTCTTTTTTCTTTCTAAGCGATGTACTTGTAAACCTTGGCTGAATCATTTGTCCCGAATTATCCCTTTAAAAAAAATATGTATAATTATTAACAATATTTAACTAGAGAAACAATTACAATTGACGCCTAAAAAAAGCCAAATGACATAGAAATATAGGCATGGTGGATACCTGTGGACTTGTGGCTTTTGTTGTACATCCTGTAAGCCACAACTTCACAAGGGAAAAGTGAACGAAGATCCCCAGATCAGATCAGTGGGACTCGGTAAAAAATTGGTGTATTTTGGTGATACGAATACCGTCCCAATTTAGACTAGCTTCGAAATCAACAATAAATTTAAAAATAATTATTTTGAAAATTACCGCTAAACATGGATAATACGGTAAATTCTTGTTCGGAGAGACCGACACATCTGGAAAGTGAGGTCATCTAAGTACATATAACAACAGGGCTCTTCTTTATTAACTCACTTCTTCTTCTTTCAACTTCATTACTCATAACACTCTGACTCTTGAGATCATCATATCAAGTAAGATTTGCTCTCCTCCGGTCGAGTCATTCTCCAGAACCAAACTCATCTCAACCATAGTCAACTGCATTAAAGTTCCAGCCCTCTACTATCTCTATTCGATCAGCCTCCCGACGTTTCCAGACTCTTCGCTACCTGAAGCTTTGAACCGAAGTGTCAATCCCAGACTTCTTCAAGAGCACGGCCACAATTGATCAGGAAATCTTGATCGGAAATTGTGCCGTCGGTTCTATAAAAGCCCGCCTTTCCTCGGTGGCAAACACTACCCACTTTCTCTGACGTCCCCAACTCGTGATAACATAATGCTTATGTACCCACGTAAGGGTCTCATCACCGATCCATACAACTCGGAGGACATCATCATACAAGACGACCAGTACCCACCTGATTTTTATTCCGAGAACGCCTTGCACTACGATCAATCTCGCTTGCAATCGCCCTTCCAGTGCCACCTTGTACAGCTCTCCCCGCCATCTTCGACACCTTCCTCACCTACTTTCTCTTCTCCGACCTTCTCGACTTCTTACCCGCAGGCGTCTGAGTCTTTCGGGGCTCCTTCGATGACCCCAGCGTCTTCATACAACCCGTCGTACGACATTCAGGGTTCCAACTCGCCTTCACACTACCTACCTCAATATCCTCAGCAATATTATACGCCCATGTTGGTACAGCAGCCTCTCGCCAGTAATCAGGGTTGGGATAGCAACCTGCAGTTGTTGAGCCCTGCGCGAATTCCATACCCGGGTGTACAAAAGAGATCTTCGCCCTCGGCATCCTCGCGCTCACTCCCCTCAGGGACGCCAGCCAACAATTACCACCGCCGATCCAACAGCGCCAACAAGCCGCTGCCCAGTCCAGTGCAAACTCCTCTGCAAAACTCATTCCTTGCGACTCCCTTCCAACATTTCGATCCCTCGTCCCAAGATGGTCAAAACGCCGAGGCCGAGTCTGCTATGAGAAAGGCGATCATGGACCAGCAAAAGCAGTCACCCCCGCAGCAAATGCAGAACGACTACTCACTGGCTCCATCGGTGTCAACAATGAGCCATAACTCGCCGGTGACCCCCCAGACGACCCTCGACGAACTCGACGACGCATCCAAGCCGATGACCAATGGTGAGAATGGAATTCCCGATCTAGATTGGGGAATGGACCAATACTTACGTTTCGACGCACCTCCAGAATACAACGGCGCCAATGGTGCCATGTCAATTGGAGTACCCAAGCTGAACAGAACCATTTCTGATATATACCAAGACGAATTATATAACCCCGCCGTCATGGCAGCGCCCCAGATGTCTAAGCCGATGGGACAGAACCAACTCAACCCGCGCAATTTTATTGCCGATCGCTTACAAGCTGCCAACCAAGGACACCTGTCTGCTCGTTCGCAATCACCTTCCAACAGACGAGATCGTTCACCGTTCCGTACCTCTTCCCCGTTCGCCGGTGACATGAGCAACAATGCCCTCCAGCAGTCCCAGTTGGCCACCAGCATCCCCATGGGACAGAACGGCATGAACAACATGAACATGTCCCAGACCTCCAACACTGGAGATATTAAGACTATGTCGCCCAAGGATGCAGTATTGGATTTCCAAGATGGCGATGATACCATGCCTCTGTTCCCCCCTGGTCAGAGTGACTTCAACCTAGGTGATGCGCTTGGCTTGCGACGCGATAGCGGCTCAATGCGACCGATGGAAGCGTTTCCTCAATATACGGCACCTAGCATGGCGCAGCCACAGTTCGCATTCTCTGAACCACAGATGCAGCGCCCTCAGAGTAATCTCTTGCAGCAGAGTAGCGAATTCCCTTCGCTTCCAGCAGTGGAATCTACAGAGAGCTCGCCTCCAAGCCAGATGAACATGCCAATTACAGAGGGTATTCCTCGTCCCGCCGACACATCTTCGGATGCGGGTACCTACACTTGCACCTACCACAACTGCTCATACCGCTTCGACTCCCCCGCCAGACTCCAACGACACAAGCGCGAGGCACACCGGCAAACAACACCGGGCGGCCACCTTGTCAGCCGCGACACCTCGCTCCGCAACTCCCAGGCTGGACCACACAAGTGCGAACGCATCAACCCATCTACAGGCAAAGCATGCAATTCGATCTTTTCCCGGCCCTACGATCTTACGCGACATGAGCATACGATTCACACCGCCGGGAAACAGAAGGTGCGCTGTCACATCTGTAACGAGGACAAGACCTTCAGCCGAAACGATGCTTTGACAAGACGTAAGTCTTTTTTCACCCCCCTTTACCCCTTAAGTTGACCATACGCTAATTACATTAATTACAGATATGCGAGTGGTTCATCCCGAAATCGACTGGCCTGGCAAGCAGCGCAGGAGGAGAGACTGAGAGCGCCTTCCACGTCATTAGTCCACCGGATCGGCATGCCGAACGTCATAGGTGGACCCACTTTTGGTCCACCAAAAATCCGGGGCTTCGTCATCATGACGTCATCAGTCCTTAATTCTCATGAACTCTCTGTATCACTATTCGGATTCCGATTTTATTTTATGTGTACGATTTCACGTTGATGATTTGTTTTTACATGCGGATCCCCTTTAGCATTGGCTGGTGTGTTTTTTTTTTGGTTTTTATTTTATCTGTCATAAGACTTTGGCTCCGGAGAACAAACAGTTTCGGTGTTGTACATTTCTGTTGCACATGGCGTTGCCGCATTTTTGACCCCAGTACAGTGTGTCCCTATTGTACTATAGTACATTCCTCCAAAAAAATGTATATTAGCTTGGATATGACATGAATTCATTTGGAAATAATCAATCACTCTCTCCGCACTCTACTATAACCCTGGAAACAGTGAAACACCCCCCGCCTTGCTCTTGAAACAATCGAGAGTTGAAGGATTCACTTTAATCCCTCGCATCCACATTGCATGGAGGCTTGCCCACTTAGGCCAGCTATATTAGCTTCTCGGCGCAGATCTGTAGGGAGATTTACTATGTATAGCAATATCATAGGTACTTTGTGTACAATGTACATGGTCGACTAATTAGAGCTGACAAAAAAAAAAAAATTCAAGTATGCACTACAGGAGAAATTACCGTATATCGTATATTGCAATAAATTAATTAACATCACCACGGATGAGTCCCGATTCGTGTTGATCATATATTGTACTCTGTACTCCCAATAGCAATTATCTATTAGTATGCTCAATTGTACATTTGCGAGAATTCCAATAGGTATGATACCATGATTGCGTAGGCACCCCATCCAAGTCTTGGAACAAACCCGACCTCGCCCAAACTCTAGCTTGATAAGGAATTTAGCTACCGGCGTCCTGGTACTCGGTACTGGGATTATTTGGGTTGGAATGTAGTGGGAATTTGGGTTGGGATTTGGGTGTCGACGTAATATACAATGTAGCAGGATCCTAACTCGGCTTTCAGGATTTTGTCCATATCCATGTGGAGGTAATGGAATTGCTCATTTGAGTATATGGTACATGGGGGCTGTACCCATCCCCGGTGGTCTCCAATTGCCTATTTGATGGGGGTAAATATCTCGCTGTCATTGTCTTTGATTGTCATCGTCATTAACAATCATATCGTATTTAAGCTTCTGGACGTAAAATTCTCCTTATTTGCAGTTTTGGACCGGTATTTTTAACCTACTTTTTACCTTATACCGTATAAACAAGCCACCGTATATCCCTATATTGACTTTATACGGAATACGTTAAAGTGATAGACAATAAATGATAGACGGTGATAAACATTTGGTGGATCTGTGGCTTAACAGTGGGTCTTTAATACACCCCCAAGGCCCGTTTGTATTGGAGTGGGGGGAAGTCGGAAGGTGGAGAGGTGTGGAACAATTGTGGGTGTGGCTTGAGACGAACCTCTCTGTCATTTGTTCTAACGTACGATCATCGAGTCCCTGATTATTAGCCATATTAGGTGGTGTGGTGGCTTCTACTGATTGGTTTACATTACTATTTCCGGTTTGCTCCATCGTACTATATCCCTTGCGTGGTGGAGGTCATATGATATACACCACGTGATGTGATATGGTGCTTCATACAGCGTAATTAGACGCTCTATGGGCTAGCGGTATTGCAAAAAAAAATCAAATAACACACCAGCCACATACCCCTGATACCAGGGTATTATCACTTCCCCTGCAAAATCCTCCGTAAGCTTCAAGATGTAACGCCCCGCATTCCATCTCGTGCAAGTGTACTCGACGCCTGCAGATTCTGATCGGATGACTCAGGCGCCTATATTACCTACTTCCTTGTACGGAGTATATAGACGGAACTAATATGCGCTGGAAGGGATCTATTCTAGAGTACCCACTCCTGATAAATGTGGGTGTTAGAAATATACCAGACTTGAAAAACCACGTTGACTTCTAAGGGCGTTGCTTTAGACATTCTTCATATAGCTTCCATCCTAGTATTCTTCAATTTACCACGGTATTTGCTATTCTGTCAAATTCGCTTCACGGGTTATGGCCCTTTTGCGCGCCAGTGGTAGATTCCATGATCTCGCACCTGGGCACTATCTCTTGCTAACCCCAGCACCACACGGCTCAGTGTGGTCTTTGTCATCTTCCAGCCACATCCATAGCTTTGACTCTGCGGCCCTCACTCGGATTTGAGAGTGCAGGTGAGTATCTGCCTATCTGAGAAACTGTTTTATGGTGCTCCCGTCACCACCTTTGTCGTCACGGCATCTGGTATTGACACCAAACTCCCTGGCCCTCCCAGTTCATTTAATCGACACTATTGTTGTCGAGCTTGTCGAACACATCGTTTCACCACCAAGTTGACGTCTGTGGCCCATTCGCTGCCTGGCCTCTGCGGATATCTCAGATCTCTTCTTGCCCCTTTAACCGATTCTCGATTTTCAATGTGCCATTCCTAGCATTGACCAAGTCCCTTATCAACGTACTGACTCATTCTACAATCTAGCTTTCCTTTCCCTTTTTCGAGCTCTCAGATCTTTCTTTTCTCTACCTACTTTGACTTAAACCATGCAATCTCATTCTAGTGGCCTGTGGTGTTTCTTCCTTCACGATCATTGAGGCCCTGGAATGTCTTCGGGATACAGAGACTGCAGATGTCTAATGGAGGGGTACGATCAATGCCTCTGTAGGTTTTGCAATCGATGCGGAGGTTTCGGCCATACGGCCGTTTACTGCAGAGGGAAATATCACTGGGGACGAAGTGGAGGGTACCTAGGGGATTCAGACCCCATAGAAACGACGCCGATCGATGATCTTGATCGCATGGATAATCATCTCGAAGTATGCATATGTTCTAACACCCTGCTTTCATTATTATGCTGACTGCAGAGACCCTGTCACGGGATTCACTCAAGGCACCAATAGTCATGGCGAAAGTGGTAAATGCATCGAAAAATGAACGCTCGCCAGAAATATCAGCAAGCGGTAAAAGTCCAACTGCCAAACGACAAAACCGGAGTGAGGTGGCCGGTAGTCGAATTGAGTCCGTCAATCTAGGACCCGTCGATAGGACTGCCATCCTGGAGCATCTGATTTCAAATGTGCGCCTCGAAATGAGTGAGAGGTACTCTTCTGTGCTTGAGGAGTACGATACCGCTCGAATACTTGAAGACAGCTTGAGTCCAGCCGTGAAGGACATTTGTGAGCAAGGGAAATTCGACCTAATCAGGCATGTTTGACCTTGACAATTCAGAAACAAGTTGTTAATAAGTCCTTCTAGCCTCTTGGAAATTGGGCAAGACCCAGAAACCAAAAAAGAATCTGGTGTCTACCTTCATATTCTATGGAGGGAAGATGCAACCACGAAACGATTCTGGCTATATGTCGGACAAGCTTGTGTGCTGTGTCTGAAAATCCAGAAACACAAAGATCCTAGCCATCGTCGAAAGAATATGGGACTACACTACGCAGTGTGGGGCTCTGCCGTGGATATGAAATCAGCCTTTGTCACTCTGGCTATCCTCGATGCCCCATCTTCTGCTCAAACGCAGCTGATTCTCAACTTAGCAGAGATATGGATGTGTCTAGTATTCCAAACGTTAACTTCCCTTCACCTAGGCTTCTGGTTGCCAAAAAGCACCAACGCTATGTGGTCGGGTAATCATCTCAATGTTGCATTGCCATTATGGCAAGGGTTCACAGATACCCAAGAGAACAAAGCTATCACTGACGCAATTGGCGGCAGGTACACATTTCAGCAATACCTTGCATCTGAGGATTCAGTTATTCGGGCATGGGCAGAACAAACTAGGGATCTTTAACGACATACGGAACTCACCTGACCCCGGAATCAGAAGTTACTGGTGGGATCTTCATCAAGACCGTATCCTGAAGGCACAGGATACGTGGAGTAAAAGGAAAGCCAGCATAGCTAAGCAGCACCTCGAAGGGGCCAAAGCTCTAGTTACATTGCATTCCGGAAATCATGGAAACCATCAAACCGAGGTCAGAGTTGGCAGTTTTAGGTTCACTGTTTCACAGACTCTTGGGCTTGATCTCCATGACGGCGGCGAAGTTATTCTCCAATATCATCTAACACCGACCCCACACCCACACCCTTATTCTCTTTCTGCTTTGAAAACACACCCTGCTACCCGCTTGGGGGTTTCTATCCGCGGTCGTGATCGCCATGGGGGGTTTCATTGCTGGCTCGAAGCAACTGGAGAGTGCAACTTACGAAAAATGAACACACTTGTGGACATTCTGGAAGGCTATTCTGCAGAGGAAAGTCAGGGGTTCAAGAGACGCTGGTTTGTTACCAAGTCTTTCAATAGGCTAAAAGGTGATCCTCCGGGGAGAAATAGGTACACTTGATGTTCCAAGACCCGAATTTCCGGAGTTTAATATAGTTATGCAAAAGGTAAAAAATTCTAATCGGGCAGCAGCAATTCCGATCTTTATAGTAGAAAATCAGTGCAGTGTATCCTTTATATTGCCCCAGTGGCCCCCACAGGATCCTACAATCCTACATGGAAAGATCAAATCCCTCAAACCAGAGGACCTGACACAATTAATTGCCAAAACAAATGATGTTGATAATCAGCATGTATGTTGCTGTAGACCTTTGAACGAGTTTCTGTGGACGACTAGTAATTTAGCGGGGTTTATTGAGTCGAAAAATGATGGATTTCATGAATCCGCACAAAAAGAAATTTGAAAAAAAAAAAAAGATAGACATAGCATGTCCTGGTTTCGATCCAGGGTCCTATTGAGAGTTAGTTTGATGAATTTTTTATCAAATTTGGTGGCGGTGAAACGTACCTCCGGGTTATGAGCCCGGCGCTCTTCCCCTGAGCTAACATGCTGGGATGTTGAAAAACCAGTTCACAATTGGCTATATAGGTCACTCAAAACTAATTTGTCATAAAATACCACACATTGTAATTGCATTGCCACAAATGAAAGCAAAGAGAAAGTAAAACATTTGAATCATTTTGAACAGGTAAAGCAGTGTTAAAAGAATCGCCTAGCTATCAGGCCAGCCAAGAGGTCACATGACCTATACTGATTGCTCCAAGTCTCCTGGAGTATATATAGCCATGTGTAGCTTTTTCCTCCTTAATGCACTTAATATTTCCAGATCTTACTATCTAATAGCTACAAGCTTAATTTCCTTCTCATGAAATAATGCCAATGCGTTTACTAAACAGTAATTTTATAGAATGCCCTACAACATACAATCTTGTTGCTGACATCATATATTATTCTCAAGTTAAAGTGATATTGCACTTAAGGGATGATTATTTCACCAATCAGCATGTTAGCTCAGGGGAAGAGCGCCGGGCTCATAACCCGGAGGTACGTTTCACCGCCACCAAATTTGATAAAAAATTCATCAAACTAACTCTCAATAGGACCCTGGATCGAAACCAGGACATGCTATGTCTATCTTTTTTTTTTTTTCAAATTTCTTTTTGTGCGGATTCCTCTGAGATTCAGGCGTTGGTAGATATGGCTATATGGATTGTTCCCTGCCTATGTACATAACTGTTCGTTCTTTTTTGTCTTTCATTCTATAGCAAGGCCTAGCTGAACAATTTGTTTTCAATATAGGGAATGTATGGATGTATTAGATATATATCACCTACTACTCCGTACCCAGGTGTAAAGATATATTTTTCATATTTGAAGGTAAATCGCATCTATGACCGAATGCCTAAGCCCCACACGACGAGAGACACCGTGCTATCCCGCTAAATTAATGAATCGAGAAGTTGAAGTTCCAATATTTCTGGTTGATACTAGCCCTACATCTCCGACCCCAATTCCACCATACTCTGTTCAACTGAGTATTCCCGTTTTGATTGAGGGCACATAGACATCACTCGATCACATCACTCGTAATAGTTACCAATGAGCTACTCGAATACAACTGACATCCTCTCACTTCCTATCTGCGGTGCAACTGTCTGCCTCAGGCCAACGACCATATAGCTCTACCAACACCCACACACCGTGGAATGACTTGACGTGCGGTCTGTAACCTGTTACCGCCAGTACTTATGGCATCATGCCCTAAGCTTCACACCCTTGTTTTGATTTCCGTCAAAAATCCACCAATGCACAAATCCGAAAATGCTAACTCATCGCTAACCCCCGATCATACCGGGGGCGAGGGGGGATAAAGTGGGGGCGGGAATCTCCAAACAGCCGGAGTCTCCTATCTGGCATTTATATCCATCAAAGAAACATAATGTCACTCAGAATCTGTTCATATGTCAAACATAAATACTAAAATCCTTAGCTCTATGAGCTCGAATATTTCTAAACAGCAAATATAGCCATCGTCGTGAAAAAAGAAAAAGAAAAAGAAAATAAGAAAAAAGAGGGTCAGCCAACCTGAAACGAACTTCAACCAACACCAACACAACCAAAAAAAAAATCACACTATACAGACAAAATGGGCCAGAAAGCCTCCGTTCCACAACCTGGAGCACAAATCCAAGTCATCGGCGCCGGACTACCACGAACAGGAACCACATCATTCAGCCAAGCGCTAGAAATCCTCCTGAACGGACCGGTGTACCACTGCGGCACACAAATATCGATAGGCCCACCAACGGAGATAAAAAGCTGGATGCCAATCCTGCAAAACTGGCTCAAACAAGATGACAGTACAAGTCGGGAAAAGATGCTCACCCTCCTGCGTCACCGATTGGCCGGCTATGTCGCAATAACCGATTCACCAGGCTCCGAGCTCGTCCCGGAACTCATGGAGCTGTTCCCGGATGCCAAGGTCGTCTGCACAACCCGTGATCCCATCTTATGGGAGAGGAGTATGCTTCACGTGCAGAGTTTGACTGGTGTTTGGTTTGCGCGTGTTGTTCTTCTCCCGCTGGACGGGTTGAGACATTTTATTCCGTATGGGTATTTGCTTGCCGCGCTTTGGGAGAGGCTTTATGGTGGTGTTATTGGTCAGCATGGGAGGGAGACTTATGCGAGTCATGTTGCTTGGTTGAAGGAGGTTGTGCCGGAGGATAGGTTGGTTTTTTTTGATGTCAAGGATGGGTGGGGACCGCTGTGTGAAGCCTTGAATTTAGAGGCACCGGTTGATGTGCCATTTCCCCGTATCAATGATTCGGAGGCGATTGAAAGGTCTGTGAATCGTCATTTCCGGAGGGGCCTTACGCGCTGGGCTTGCATTTTCGCTGTCTTTGGTGTTGGGGTGGCAGCTTTTCGCGCATGGAGGTGAGATGGGGCGAGACTGTATAGTGTGATTGAAGGGTGATAGGTGGCCAAGTGGTTTCTTCGTTGGTTGCGGAGATTTGTGTGGACTTGTTGGGCGATTTTTGGAAGCTGTTGGTGTTGTCGACCTTCAACATTTTAGCGACTCGTATGCCTTGGACGATGTTGGTTTGCTTCAGGGCCAGAGACTCATCGCGAACAATCCAGATAGATCGATCTATACTGTCACTTACATAACCATTTAGACAAGATTTATGAGATCCATGCCTTTGAATGTGTCATACAGGATAAGAAACCGAAATATATTGCCCCGAATATTATACACGAAATTTCATTTAAGCCGCCAATTCATAAGCATAAACCCGATATCACTGACGAGCCCGCTCGAGAGATGATGAACTTGCACGATCATTTCTTTCAAATGTAGTCTCGATCTCCGTGTGGGTGAAGATCTTGCCTTGGGGGATAATGCGTTCCTCGCTGGAGTTGCTGGTGGCGCCAATTTTGATACCCATGGTACCATCCTCCTTGCAGTGGATTGTGTCCATAGTGAGGCTGTTGGGATCCGTCACCTTGCCAAATCCTGATGGATACCGCGGGGAAGCGTTGTTGCTTGACCAGGCGCCGTATTTCTTCCCGCTGTTATATTCGCCAATGAAGCGGGGCACGAAGCGGGAGGCAATTGCTTTGAATGATGGGATCGAGGCAGCGAAGATACCGACGTTGGTTTCGATAACCGACCAGTACATGGCACCGCTGATGGCGTAGGTGGAGTCTTTTGAGGTAAGCATGGTAGGGATGTAGGTGATTCGGATGATCGAGGAGACACAAGCGCTGTAAAGGCAGTGCGTTAGTGATCGTCTCGGTGGAAATACTAGGATATACCCACAAAAGACCAAGACAGAGGATAAAGGCCAGAATAAGCTTCTGTTTCCGAGGCATCTGCAGACCGAAGATTACCTTGATGGGTAAGGTATAAGTCAATATATCGGTGACAATGTTCAAGGCAGCGTTGCACAGGTAGAACAGGTTGATGGTGACGCATTTCCCGGGTCCAGTGCCAGTCCAGGCCATGCTAATGGGTCGACACTGGAATGCAGCAACGAGAACAAATGAGGTTGCCTGTGCTACAATAACTCCCATCATAATCCAGGATAGACGAGTGAGATAGCGATCTCCGAGGCGAGTATAGAACCATAGGACGGAAGTTTTGATGAATCCAAGTGTTGCAAGATAGAACATCGAACTCAACCAGACGACCTAGGCAGGGGTTAGAAATGCAAAGCTGCATGGGATTCGCATTCTTACAAAAGCATAGTCGACGAGCTTAGTCGGGTCGACATCCACAATGTGTTTTCCAAGTCCATATTTGACCGCTAAATTATACTATTAGCAACAAAAAGTCGTAGGACGCAAAGCTAGAACATACCGACAATCGTGACCGCAATAAATGACCACGACAGTATCTATTTCCATTAGTTATAAGTCTCGCTGATGATAGAGTCGTTCTTTTCTTACGCAAGCGCCAATAATGAGATCTGGAAGATGTTAATATACTATTGAAATAGATCAAGCATAATCCACTTACAATCATCAAGACCCATTTGACCCAAGACACAAATACGTGAAAAGAGACGAAGAGCCAAAACAATAAAGGTCAAGATGGCAAATGCCACACAGACACCTTCGACTACCGGGCCTTGAGATCCATTGATATCGGCCATGATGGAGGGACGGCACAGAAATAAAAAAGAGAAAGACCGTTAATTGATGGGAAGGAATTCGTCTTAATGGCGTAGACAGTCGTTTCACATGCCCATCTCACGGAGAACGGATGATAAGAACATCAAGAAGAATAGCCAGCGGTGCCCTCTACAATTTATAACGAGATCTTTTCTAGACGCCCCTGGAACTAGTGGGAATAAAATGACTGTGCACATCAGAGATGCGCATTGTGCATGACTCTAGTAGTCTCCGAGATCCACTGTATACCGCTAAAGAGGCCGTTGACGAAAAAAAAAAGCAAACATGGCAATTCGCAAGAGCTGATTTTTTTTTACTGAGTACTCTGTAGACTAACACGAGACAGACGAGACAGTCATAACCGAGCATCTCCACCACCCGTGGACTCGGGATAATCGTTGATCTACGGAATACTCGTGCTAAAACACCCCGTTTATGGGTAGGGGCGTCAGTTTCACGTTCAAAAAATATATAGAAAAGAGACCTAGTGCGGGATTCTAGCGCATGACTTGCCACTCAAACACCGAAATACTGTCTCAATTCTCGAGCAAATGTTGGATATATCCAAAATCCCTGTTATACCAAATCCCAGTCCCAGTTCATTGGGTCCTGTGTTTTCGGGAACAAGAAAGCATTGTGTTTGAGCTCTCAAGATATCCACCCGAAGACTGGGATGGGATTGGCTCGAACAGGGATGGCTAGTGGTCATGACTCAACATATTTGATGTCTCGGAGACGATCATTGTGAGTTCCTGATTATTGGGAAGTAGTTCAATTCTAGAAGTTTGGACTAGTTGACCAATAGTCAAGATAAAAAGAATAACTTGATAGAACGAAAGCACATTCTCGGAAGATTCCCCCGGGAAGATGAGATCTGATTTATCTTTGCTTTTCATGAGATGTCCGATGGCGATCTTAATATATCTCAACTCCAACTTGATGAATCGTACATCGTAGACAATAACCCTAAATTTACTAAATTTACTAAATTTAACTGAAAGAATTAAGACAACCAGAAGATCCAAATGAATATTATATAGAGGATTCTATGGATGGCGAATCCAATAAAATAATGATCACGAAGAGGGCTAAACCAGTTTCCGATATCTGAGAAATAGTAACAAACTTGAAGCCATATGCAGCCTCTGATCTACACGACTCCATTTGCCTTCCGAGCCGTCCTCAGTGGGGATAATTGTTAAGCGAAAACGAAATTGGTTAGACTGTAAATGATTTGGAAATTTTCATATGTGATATGGATATTTAATGCACTTGGATGGAGTACAAAAAGTACAAGTACGGACATTCTTGTTAAGCTCCTTCCCATCAATTTATTATTAGCCATAATTAGAAGTTGACTATTGCTTCTAAACCAACAGATTATATTATATATATGTTGTAGTCAGATTTAGTAGTTCGTCTGTCTTGGAAAGTCCTTTGGATGCCTGAATTTTGAGATGTGCTGCCTTGACACCTGTTCTACTCACCGCCCATTTCCAAAGTCCTCACAAAAAAGATAGGTACTTCCACTTTATATGAAAACTGCTAACAAGAATAAGTCACTCCTGTCTGATATGGCAGAACTTCAAATCATACTAGATTTGGAAGGCGGTATATCAAAGGTAACCAAAAGGGCCTGTAACGACACACATGTGCATGTTCTGTACATATATGTACGGAGTACTCCATACCTACATACTTTTACCCGTTTTCTCTCTCTTTTTTTTTGACGGGGATTGCTGTTAAAGGTCAGGGTCTAACTTGTTGCAAGCATCGGAGTCCTAACGGCTTATATCCATAACTATTATTAGCCCTTATCTTCACTTTAATTTCAAAAGAATGTGCTCGGCATATGCATTCAGGTTACGGAGTACAAACTTGCACAACGGCCCGTCTACTTTAGTCTACAGAGTCCAGAACCACTGGCCATTCCGTAGTGGAGAATGCCACGACAGCAGCTCCACAGCCTCAGTGTGAGGTACTTTGTTATTCCATCGGTAGCCTGCAAATAACACCAAAAAACCTGGTCTCGTACTCCGTACAACAGGCGAGAAACCCCCGAGCATGTCGAGCATGTAATGTGCTATGCTGATCATTGTCTGAAATGTTGGGCAAACCGCACGGCCCCCTCTGACAGACAACGTCTTTCTCCATATCTAGAACATCTTTACCGCTTTAGGCACATATACCGGATCGATCTTTACCAGGAACGCAATGGACCACAAAGCCATCTAAATTAGCAGCTACTTCGTACAATCAAGTTCGATGCACGTATTACCAATGCTCTAGCGCAAGGAACACGAAGAGGGGTCGATGCACGAGCCGAGCATAGCTCTAACGGTTTAGACCTACTTCGGTTTAGACCTGCAGAATTCTCGTGGGGTCCTGTAAGCTCGAAGCCCTTTGGCCAATGCCCCTTTGGCCCCTTACTACAATGTGCTTTTTAATGCAAAAGGTTATTGGTGGTTTATTTCCGGGGCCATTTCTTTCCCTCGATCAGAAAGAGGGGTTTTCATCTTCTATGATTCTCTAACGCCATGGGTCTTGAAAATGTCCTGTCACTGGTGACAGTGACCAATGTCATCTTGGGACTTGTCGCTTATATCGTGCTTAACTTTACCTGGCAAGTTATTTACTATCGCTTCTTTAGTCCGCTCGCGAAGTTCCCTGGCCCTTTCTGGGGCTCTGTAACCCGTCTCTGGATCGCATGGCATAATCTGCTGGATACTGAAGTGCCGACTGTTTATGCGCTCACTAAGAAATATGGTTGGTCTTCATCCTATCTTCAAAAGGTGTGTATCTAACCCAATGCTCTCAGGCCCTGTTGTTCGCATCACCCCGACATTGTTGCTGGTCAACGATCACGAAAAGCTCCCGGAAATCTACCATCGCAATGCAGACAAGACTGGACATTATATCACTGGAAGTTTTGGCGAGAACGAGTCTCTGTTCAACATGAGATCTCACAAGACCCATGCCGTTTTTAGAAAGCACGTTGCTGGACCGGTATGACGATATAATTCAGTTGCAGACATCAAAAACTGACCCTCAACATAGTACAGTTTCAGCAATATTAAAAAGATGGAGCCATTGATTGATCTGCGCATCACCGCATGGTCCAGCAAGCTCACGGAAAAGTTCGTGAAGACCGGCGAAGCCTTCGACTTCTCCTGGTGGGCAGTGTAAGTACCACACGAGATAAATGACACAATCCTCCGACTAACCATACAACCAGCTACATGGCCTACGACATTATCAGTGAAATCGGCTTCGGCGAGCCCTTCGGTTTCGTCGAAAAAGGCGAAGACATCGGCGGTCTAATCCAAGGATTTCACGACGGTCTCCCAGCCTTCGGCCTCCTAGCCCGCCTCCACCCCTTCACCTCATGGGTAAAAACCACCGCCCTGAAAAAGTACCTCGTCGCCACACCAGCCGATGACTCCGGCATCGGTGTGTTAATGCGCTTCCGCGATCGACTCATCGACCAGCGCATCAAGGACATTCAAAGCGGCAAGAAAATAGACCGGACAGACCTGCTCCAGACTTTCCTCGAGGCTCGCACAGAAGAAGGCAAGCCCCTTGATCTGGAGTACATCCGTGCGGAGGTCCTGCTCGTTCTACTTGCGGGCGCAGACACAACTGGCACCGCCTTCCAGGCCATGGTGAACTTCCTCATGACGCATCCGGAGGCGTATGAGCGTATGATGGCGGAGATTGATACTGCAGCCCGTAAGGGTCTCATCTCCGATATGCCGCAGTACAATGAGGTCCTAGAGCACCTGCCTTTCTATGTTAGCTGTGTGAAGGAGACGATGCGTCTGTGTCCGTCTGCACCGAATATCTTCCCCCGTTATGTCTCTGAGCCTGGGATCGAGCTCTATGGTCGCTTCGCGCCGGCTGGTACTGAGGTTAGCTGTAACCCGTACCTTGTGCATCGGGATTCGAAGCTTTATGGGGATGACGCTGAGGAGTTTAAGCCTGAGAGGTGGTTGGATGCTGAGAAGGCGAAGTTGTATAATAAGTATAACTTTTCGTTTGGGTATGGAACGCGTGTTTGTCTGGGGAGGGATATCGCTATGATGGAGTTGTTCAAGGGTCCTTTGCAGGTGAGTTCTTAGTATGAGATGATTATTCTGGGGTACTAATGTGTTTAGTTCTTCCGTCAATACAAGCCGGAGACTGTGAAGGGTAAACCTGAGGCTAAATTCATGATCAAAGGTGGTATTGGGTACTGGAGAGACTTGTGGTTGACTATTTCTCCTCGGCCAGAGGTGAAGGCAGAATGAAGGCTGGAATATGGACATTACACAAGATAATTAAAACCAAAGGATTCAGCTTAAAAACCTCCAATTCCATGACCCCTGCTTCTATTCTTCTTGTCACGAGATCTAAGAGCCCCAAACTACACCGCCATAATGTACCTGGGCAATTCTTATAAAAGGCATTCTGGAAATATTAAGAAGTTCCACTGGTTGCTATATTCTTGGTAACGTCTGGAAGCCATTCGTTTATCGTTTTAGATGTTTTGGGTATTTTCTCCTGAGTTTTATGGAAAAAAAAAAAGGTTCAACTGTGCAGAGGGCTTTTTATGTATAGCCTTTTGATGTAGATAACTATCGTATAAACAAAGCCGAGATGTGAGCTAGGACACTATTTGTTGAATGCTTTTAGTAACTCAACCAACGCTAGAATGGCGTCAAATATGGGAAGATTGAGAAAAGAACCCGAGATATTCATGATAAATTGGTGATTATTCATTCAGCAGTACCCATGACGGCGTCCTGAACATAATTGTTAGTAATAGAAGGGAGAATATAACCAAAGTATGTGCTTACCCTTGCCTCATGGTACAAGGGAGTGATACCAGTCCAGTGAACGAACTGGTGCACACCCTGTCCAACAAGGACCTCCAGTCCAGGAATAGTGTTCCAACCCGCGTCAGATGCAAGCTGCATCAAGGCGGTGACGGTAGGCTTGTAGG